CTCTGCTACGCGAGCTTTCGTGATAAAGGAAGCTAGGCAAGTCAGAGCAAACCATCCATGCATTCGTGTGAAAGCATCCGGGTCCTCGGATGTGCTCACCCGCCCTAATACTTCATTGCGATGCGGGTAGCGACCAAATCGGCGGAGCACAGTGCGATGGGAGTCATGAGACAGGATCGCCTTATTTCTTGCTGTCGGAGCTCATGCAGGCCCACAGCTCAGACTGGTATGCCCCTGCCATCACACCGAGCCGCCTGGAAGATGACCTTCGAAGTTCCATCTTCGAAGCGCTGCATGTTCTTCTGCAATATCTCTATACCCATGTCAACGCGTGAAGCATCGCCCGGAACCTCGCTGTGGCTGAATGGCTGGACAAGACACAGGAGCTCGGCAGCGGAGCAAGAATCACTATATCCATCCTCCACAAGCTTCTCGCTCACCTCAAGGGCATACTGATCATAGCGAAACGCATCTGGCGTCCCCCTGCAAGCGTTTCTTGGAATCTGATCGAACAGGACGACCCTTGCCAGGTTCGCCAAATTCTCCGACTCGGAGATCTTAGCCCAAAGCTCTTTCCTCTGCCAAAATCTATGCTCCTGTTTCACCAGCGGCAAGAACCCCCTAGCCATCTCATCATACCTCGACCCACTGAGGTACCACATCTTTGTCCGCTCACGCAAATAGCCTGTGTCACTCAGGCGTTCCCTCGCATGTAGCACTTCATCGCCAAACCAAAACGCCAGAACGGACTCCAGATTCGGTTGAGCATGCATGCGGCTTCGGTGCGCCAGCCTACGTGGAAGCGACGAAAGCTTTAGGCAAAATCTTAAGTTCACAAAAGCCAGCAACGCGCAAGCCCCATAATGGCGTGTCATCTGCAGATTGCGCTGGCGAAATAGAGGCCGGCGTGGCGATTTCCAGCATGATGAGCCCAACCCTAACAGTATCGCATGAGACCTCGCAGCAGCAGATGCCACTCCCGCCTCCATGCCACGAAACTTCACGCCGCAAGTGACTTTTATTGACATTGCAGGACGTTGCACGGTTGTTTTCATGCAATGGCCATATACCACGCTCTCTTGATGCTTGATTGCGCTTTGTGGACACGCTGAGAGCTTGAGATCGTGAGACAAATTGCTACGCATGCATGGACAGCTCAGCCCATGGACACCGAAGACGACTTCCCACAGGCATCCACACACGTAACGGCAAAGTCCTCGCAAACGATTCGATATGGCGCCGCTGAATCTAACTCCTGGTCATCCTCCACCATCATGGCCTCCAGAATCAAGCTATTTAGCTGGTGCGTCTCAAAGTTAGGCATAGCAACTGTGACAAATGAAGGCTACTGGTGCCGCAGGATGCCGCCTTCTTCTTCTGCGCTGCCATGTCGTGCACACGCTGCTTGGCAAGCTCCGCACCCTTGCTCGAGAGGTTTTCTGTCTGTAGTACTGTCATTGCGCAACTTAGTTCCATGCAAGGCAACCCTCATGAGCGCACCCGCACCAACCTTTTCTCCTCAAGGAGAGTGTGCATAGACCACCGGTGATAGACCACCGACATCCACCGACGACACCCCTCTCGAAGTGCTAAGGCCATGGGCTGAGAGGTTAGTTCAGTTGTTCAGTTGGGACTTCGAACAAGGTGGGCTGTAAAGCCAGCAACAAGCCGCAGGCCAAGCGGGCTTGCATCTCTACAAAACCGTCCAGATACGTCCATCCACATGGAATGGCCAAGTGCTGCGGCGGCAGACCAACGCGGCATCCAATTTGACCGGATTTTTGTTGGTCAGCGGGTGGCTGGAACACGCCAGGTTTCTTTGCTCACCTGCCTCAAGTCTCAGCTCGGATGCCTTCTGAGGTGCTGCCACCGCAGTGTGAATAGTGTAATCATAGCATCGGCACTCCGCGGAGTGTTGCTACGGGATTCGCTTTTGGAAAAGCCGTTCCCGCACTGTGCTCTGACTCAGGGCGACTTCGATGGACCCTTCCAGTGTTCTTACATGGATGGACAGCAGGAAAGCCCAAAGACTGCCGTGAAACGCGCCGAGAGGCAAGACGTATTGATGCACACTGTTCGATACAGCTTGCATAATCTAACAATTCTGGTATGCAGCATGATACCCGCGAAAAAGCTGCCTCTCTTGGTGGTGCCTTGCGCATCTCATGGCCCAGGCTTCTTGCCTACGCTCGAACAGCCACAGGCCCGGCGCTCGCATCGAAATTCACCGATTTGGAAGGATTTGCTCAAGCCGACAGGCTTGGCTTGAGCCGGCTTGGTTGCCGACTCCATGGTTCTCAAGTTTTGTGCTTGGCAGACCTTTGAGAGACTGTCTGTTCGGCGCTCCGCCAGGAAAAGCTTCCATGCCCTGCCAGCATGGGGGCTGAAGATGCCGAATGTCAGCAACACTAGGCTTACCAATATGGATCCTCAGGAAAGCTGCTGCACCTAGAACCCGCCACAAACCAAAAAAACAGTCCAGCGCTCTGGTAAATACACTCCGGCCGACTGGGCCAGCTACACAGATTCAGAGGCTTGCTCGCCTCTAGGACCTTGCACCTGTCCATCCAAAGTCGGGAGCAGGCTGTCACCTGGCTAACACCCTTACACAACATCACTCAGCCCTGCGAGCAAGGTCGGACTTGGATTAGGAGGCTCGCGCTTTTTAAGCACGACTCCGAGCATCGCTGCTCTGCTCCGCGGGGAGTCTTACAGGCGTTCAGGGCGACAGGACTCCCAGCATCACTGACTAGACCTCAATGCCACTCCATGCTCGCCGAGACGGCCGGAAAAGCGTTGAGTCTCTGAGGCATTGCACTCGGAAAAATGGCAGAGCAATCCTCACTTTCGCAGCTGCGCAATCATCAGCGCACAGACTGAGTCAGGGAACATCAGAACTGGTCAGCACCCCCTGACTGTCATGGTTGTTCAGCGATAAACGGCATGTCTAAGTAGCAGGAGTAGACGTAACTTTCGAGCACCATTGCACATTTCATGCTTGCACTTCAAAATCACATCACATCCTGGCAGTTCTCACGGTTCATATGCCCACGCACTGGCCTACCGGTCAATGAACATATCTGAGGTGACTCCTAGTTAGTTCTTGCCAAAGCTCAGAATACACGTTAAGGCATGAGATGGCGAACACGGCGAAAAGTTCTTGTCCCATTTCGACGTACCCGTAGCAAACACATGGACTGCGGTGCCTGCGAATGCTGCGCAGGTAATCGAGAAGGACACGTCAAGGAAGCTGGAAGTGTTTTGCAGCTCCTGCATAAGACTCCAATCTGAGATTTTCGGGACTCGCTTTGGCCCTGAAACGGCCTTTAGGTTCAAGGGACCCCGTTCTGCTGCCATTGTTATGATATGCCTTCACTGTCGGGAATCTCCCTGTGTTTGACCCCCGGATCTTCGCTGCGGCGCGGCTCAAGAAAAAGAGAGAAGAGCCTGGGAAAGACCTTACAACTCATATGCTACTAGTAGCCATCTGTTGCATAGGATCGCTTGCAATGTCCTGGTTTTTTGAAGAGCTTTGTAGGTCATGCTTGCATCGGCACGGGGTGTCCTTGTTTTCCTCCTCCGCAGCGCCAGCATCAGATTCGCCTTGGCTCAGACTCAGAGAGCAGCAGGAATACGTGGCTCCCAGAACCATCCAAAAGGTTGCCCCTTCCAATTTTGGCACTGAATGCTCCAAAGGAACCTGGGGAGGACATCGCTTTGAGTGCAGACGGAGCCCTCGTCGAGACTTCATCTTCCTCACGGCTAGCGACTAGTGCGGTAGCACCCCGCTTCATCTGACAGACTCCAGTCCTGGTGGCCCTTTGCCTCCAGGATGTGGGGCACAATGGGTAGGTCCTGGAGTTCTGCGGCAGAGTGCAGAACGAATGCTCCCTACACAAGCACCGAGCATTCCTGGAACTGGCTGTCAAAACCTCCGTGAGGGCTCGAGCAAAGCTCTCCGGCAGCAACCTGCAGCGTGCTTCGTGCCGTTTGCGAAGCCCCTCCGGATGTTCGCCAGGAACCTGCCTTGATAGCTTGGTCCAGATCCGCGATGAGATCCTGTGGATCCTCGATACCAATCGAAATCCTGCAGCGATTTCTCATGTTCTTTGCAAGGGTGGAGTTGACCAGATCATTTCTACTGCAGGGCCCAAGGCTACTTCCCACACCTGCCGTTAAGACCAAAGCCGAGATTTGCAGTTTCACTGTTCTGTAGACCCGGGTTTGAGCCGTAATAAGGAAACACAACACTTTGGGAAAGCAGTGTGAAACACGTCGATGCACCGGTGAGGACGGAGATAACTTCACTGATGTAGCGTAGCGTACCAGCAGATCAAGCGCAACAAACAAAACCACGCGAAGTGCACAAGATTTCGCAAGCAACGTGCTTGAAAGAAAAGCACGGATTTAAACCGAGGTCTGGCGAGTCAATTGCTTGCAAGAACCTCCATTGGTTGTTGCACACGTGCCAACTTAGAGAATTTGGGGCAAGTATAGCATGTCTAGTTCTGCAAGATACTTCGAGCCCTGACAGTACGTTCTGGAACACTTGGCGGCATAACGCACAAACTACAGCAGACGATGATGTTGGATCAACATGATCAACTCTGCAGAACACACGCAGGAACAAACAGTGCTGCTTTCAACTTGCGGCGCTGTTCGGACTGAGACAATATAACTCCGAGCTCAGCGTCCTGATGAGGTCATCAGCCAATGTCCTCTTCTCAGCTGGAATAGAGGCATGGCCTTAGCGAAAAGGATGCCCTCTCTCGACGAACGCTCAAGGCCGCAAGGGATGGAGGAAGAGCGAAAGTCGATGGCGAGGCAAGAACCAGAATGTCAACAGAACCAACGATCTCAAAATGAGAACAACATGAGGAATGCCGAGCAACATTGGGATCAACAGATGAGCGATCAGAAATTGCGTGGCATTTGTGAAGCTCTCGCTGCTACACCCAGGATCAACATGCCAATTAAAGCGCGCGGCTCATCGTGCACGGCATTTCGAGAAGACTGTTGACACCTTCAAGCTTGAGTTCACGTGCACACGACGAAGCACTCCAGTAGCAGTACAACCTCAAGTGATTGGAACTCTCGGGTTCCAGCTGCCGAAAGACACTGTGGTCTTGAAAATCTTGCCTCACTTGCCAATGGCAACCACCCAAAAAAACGCTGTCGAACCTGACGCCAGGCCCACAAGGCTCGCCAGGCGCCCGGCAAGCATCTACTAGGCGCCGAGAAAACTCGACTGATCCTGTAGAGCAGCCAACACTGATCCGCTTTTCCGCTTCCCTCTGGCTCTTAGAGTCTTAGAGCTGTCCTGTGGTCAAACTGATCACTGATCCACTGCCCTTGCTTTGGGACCAATGAATGGCCAAGCCTCCAGGATCGAGATTTTGGCTTTGGCACCCACCCCCTCGCCCCCCGCCCCCCCTTCTTTTAAGCATCTGGCTGGTGGGATCGCATCCCCCGGGGCCAGGGAAAAACACCTCTTGGGAGAAGGCAGATGGAGAGCCGCAAAGCAGAAGCGCCTCAGGTCGACGCCTGGTTGATGTGCTTGTTCCTAAGCAAAAAGTTGACGACCTCGGCCATGGTTTTCCATGCAGCCATATGCAGCCTCATGTAGCGTCCCAGCCCTCCGAACCGGACACCATGTTGAGGTCTCAGCTCGGCGTGCATTTTGCTGCGCGCGCTCTACTCGCCTGGTGCGGCCGGGGGGGGGGGCTTTGAGCAGCAGAGCAAGGTGCTGTTCGAGAACTGTGGTCCGAACAAGAACATGGTCTTGATGCCACGTAGAAAAAGGAAGCACCTTAGAGAGCCACTCTATGACAAATCTCTGGCAAAAGCATTCTGTCTCTTTGGCAGGAAACATCCGGCTGAGTGCTTCGACTCAAAAGGAGCCAGGGCCGTGCCTTCGGCATTCTGCAGGAAAGCCACGCGATGAGCGAGCTCCTGAGACGAAAGCTCGTCGCTTCCGGACGTCCCACGTAACAGAAGGCCCCGACAGGATGGCGGACGCAGACTAGCCCGCCAGTGCAGTCGGCATGGCCAGAGAAGAACTTGGTGGCAGAGTGCACCACGATGTCGACGCCTTCCCAAGGCGAGTGCTGACCCACAATTTTCCGCACTTAAGGAACCTGCTGAAGTGTCGGACTGCTTGAGCTCTGAGATGCAGACCCAGGGTGAGTGGCTTGCAAATCACTGGCGGCATCATGGTGCTGTCCACGCTGACAAGAATCCCATGCCTTAGCAGTGAGAGTTGTCAAACTCAAGAGAACGCTCCAATCGACCGTCACTGGCAGATGCTTGCCGGCACATCTGTTTGAGCCTCCAGCTTGTGCGCAATAGCACAAACGCCTCTGATGTCTGTGATGCGCATCCTGGGATTCGACCTCGGCACCATCTTCAAGAAACGAAGGGACTGCACTCTGCGAGTTGAGACGCCTCCTACAGATAACGTGCAGTGAGCACTCAGAGCTGCGCGGGCTTTCCAGGTGAATGAGGCGAGTCTTCGGAGTGATGGCCTCTCGACTGGAAGATGGCGTCCGAACGTCAGATATAGACTGACACCAAGAATGTGAGTCCACCATATCCCCACTATACAAACAGCCTGGCTGAGGGCATTGAGGTCTGTCGTGTCCACGAACTTGACCTCTGCTCAGTTGGAGAACCAGCAGCACGAGCGCTGCACTGCAAAGAGGCGTCTGAAAGAATCCATAGGCGTGTGAATATCGGACAAGAGGCATCGATGCCACTGTGTGTGCAGTCCTTCAACAACTGCAGTCCATGATGAATCACATCCGCTTGCTTCCGCCTACGACCATGATCATCTCCGTGCCTGTGTCAGGAGCCTGTGCATGCCACCATAGATGTCCTCGTTTGCAATCACCTTCGAGAGATGACTCTTGCCCCTCCAAGGGCCTGAAGGCACATCCCGTGACACTCCGGGCCTGGTCTCCGTACTTTAGCAGGCGGGTCACTGTGTGTAGTGCCTGAGATCCAGACACAACCAGACCGCCTTTCCGCAAGTTGCAAGTGTCTCAGCTCTCCGGCGGCCATACCAGACGCAAAGGCAAACGCAGCCGCTGCCTAGACGCTTAGACACAACCACGCGGGGAAACAGTGAGTCTGTGCCGACGGAGCCTGTTCCAGCATCGCGACATGCTTCTCCAACGCAGTCCTGCGCATGAAAACCCGTCACATGGTTGGAGAAGAACCACCACCACTCACAGCCTTGTGGGATTGCCCGAGCGGGAGTAGTCGTAAGGTCCAAACTCACTCGAGGACCTCGGATGCGCACGGGCCCAACAAGGAAACAAGTTCCAGCGAGTGGGAGAAGCTAAAACCACAAGACCACAAAACACTGCTCCAGAGCAAAAGAAGCATGCCTGCGGATCCAGCAAGCCGGGAGAGGCATTCAAGGTTTGCAAGCTACGTCTGCCAGCATCAGGCAGCTCACCCGCCCCGAGAAACCAGAAAACCAAAACGCTTGCTTGGTGTGCCCCGTGCTTGCGAGATCCCAGCCAGACCTGGCATCGTTCCGCCTTCGTTCTTCAAACTTCACCTTCCCAAGATCCCACCTTCCTTGTCCGGAGGGCAGGAGGCACGGCCAGGCAGGGACTTCGGTAGCGCAGTTCTCTCCATAGGTCTGATGGTGGCGCCGGCTGCGTGTGGAACAAAACACGATGCGGAAGCATTCGCAATGAACGAGATCTGCCAAGCCACGGCTGCACAAAGGTGGCCGTCTGGTAGATGGGGGTATTGGATGGATGGTAAGGGTCCTGCAAAGCACCGTCAGGACAGTCAACACAGGGCATTCGACATCGTCCGGCCTCAGGACATCCATCAAAAACGACACACTGCGATGCAGGCTGAAGCTCGTTCTTGAAGCCTGCAGGCTGAGGCGTTCCCCCGCAGGCGCACCAAAAGAAGTCATCCAGAGAGGACAGAAACGAGAGCGGGTCCATTGACTCGCACTCTCTCAAGGTTTGATGCCACAGAGGTGTCGGTTGCTCACTGTGCTCACACTGGAAAACGCCTGCAAAGTTTGGTCTGATCGGGAACGTCGGCAGGTCGTCGTAGTCACCCTGCCGCCTGCACCGACAAAGGAGCTGTCTGCTACTCAAGGAAACTGGAAAGTGGATGCTGAGGCAGCTACTCGCTCAAGTCAAACCGCACATCTGTGAAGTTCAGCCTCGAGGGAAGCGTCGCTTGCTAGTCGCAGCCATGCAGCGGAGCAAGCAGATCTCCGAACATCAAGCACTTTCAGTGCCCCACTTGTCTCCGATAGTGCTCTGCGCCTTCTTCCGCATGAGCGTCTCCACGTCCTGCGTTGCAGAAGCATCTGATCATTATCTACGGCGACGTGGGGATCGAACTCTTACCAGGCACCTGCTCGTCATCCTGATCTTCTGCGAGAGAGGCGAGATCCTCGCAACACACCGCACTGGGCCTCCTGCCTGGGGGTCGGTGCTGAGTGTCGGGCCGACATTGACCTTTCTTTTTGGTACAGTCTCCATACCTTATACGACGATGCCGTGTCAGGCAGCTCGTAAGGCCTGAAGTAAGATGCCCGCAGCATTCTCCAATCGACGCGCATCCATCGTATCTGACTCTAAATTCAGCATATCCTGATCAGGTTTTCCAGCTCTGAGGTGGGGAGGTGAGCCAGACTGGAACCCACTTGCATCCACTTGCACAAGGGCAGATCAGACAGCCTGACACGACTTACTCCTCGGGCCGCCGAAAGGTTCGCAGCAAGACATCGCGACCACCCCAACCTTGCACAGGAGGGCTCCGGACACTTCACGGTAGAGTTCACCCTACATCTCAGAAGGCGAGGCGCTTGGCAATGCAAACTGTTGCCAACAGCTACACAAAAAGTCAACAAACACCTTGAACCTAAGCTGCGGCGGCACGCGTGCAGAAGCATGACTGACATGAATGGTTGATAGCCATGAAGCCAGCCGGCAGATTATCTCGCGAGCCTGCCTTGAGTGCAAGCTCGCCAGCTTCCTTGCGGCTCTTTCCCGCCTGCAAAGCCTGCACAAGGCGACACTGCAAGGGCTCCACTCCCTTCACAACTCGGCGGAGATTTGGATTTGGCAAAAGAAAAGGCGAAGGCGAACGAAGTGGCTCGGCCGCTTTTTCTCCCGCTCCTAGCGCTCGCCGGGGGGGTCACAGCTTCCGCAGCCTGGCGGCAGTTGAAGCTGAGTCTCAGCTAGTTTCACTCTCTGGCTCCTACGACGACGTCGCGTCGTCTTCCCCTCTGGCTCCGAAGTTTGTCTTCCAAGTCCTCGTCCTTTCGGTTTTGAACTGCCCTGTCCGGTTCAATTTGGAAGTTGTCTCGCAAGGACAGGATTGTTCAAGTTCAACATTGTTCAAGTTCAACAATGTTGACGATCGGCAGAATGTGATTGCATCCTGGCTCATTACCACTCAGTTCCCCCAGGATGCAGCAGTTAACGGTGTGGAAACGAAGCTTCACCCCATCCCAGAAAAGGCAAACCCCGTCTTGACTGGTGTCTGGTACCACAAGTCGGCCTAATCTTGCTTGCTGGCCTGTTGCATGCGTGAAGTTGAAACGTAATCGGCAAGTGGATCACGAAGGTGTGACTTCAGAAACGCGAGCTGGCTCCATCTTGTCGGCCTGGTTCGCATGGCATGCTGAGACTTTTCCGTAACACAGAAGTGGCAAGGCCTTGGATGCAGTGGTGAATTTCTCGATGATCGACCTGGGCTCAGGTACCAGGCACAAAGGCCAACACCGTCGGGAGCACCGAAGGCCCTGACTTTCCATAGAGAGGTGCAGAGCCAAGCAGAGACGGAAGCGGGGTCGAGCCCAGGAGCGTGGGGAGCGGCTTGCAAATGTCAGTATCTGCCTGCGCCTGTGGTGCCAACCAGCTCTGTCGAACTGAGAGCTGACTACCTTTTGGGAAGCAGCAAAAACTAGCAACCACAGGCATGTCCTGCTGCTCATCGTCAGCAGTACTGTTGTCGCCGTCACTGAGTCCAGCCTTCGCAGTAAGGGCGCAGGCCCTTCTTAGAGTAGCCTGGCGGAACATCTTTTCTCACGTTCTTGCCTCCTTGTCTGGCAAGTGCTGGATCTCGTCTTCAGAAGAGGAGTTGCTGGCGGATTCCTGTCAGAGGCTCCGAGCTTTCCTTGCAGGATGTGGTGTCCAGCCGCAGGGGCCCGGGCTGGGGATGGGAACGGTGGCGGAGGTAGGCCTGACAGCCTGAGCCGCGAACCGGAACTGTCGGATATAGTCACGTCTTTAGTGAGAAGCCGAGGCGAGAGCGAACTACTGATATCTGGTTCTGTAACCTGCAAGTTGAGGAATCCTATCTGCACTCTCTGGAAACCGCCCGCAGGCCTTCATTGGCTGGCGGCTCAAGCCGGGGGGCCTCAGATTAGGCTTTCTAGCAAAGATCTTCCACAACTTCCATTGGCTGAGATTGCGACGGGGCAAAATGAATTCCAGGAGGTTTGCTGCGGCCGCTCTCAAGACCAGGAGGTGCACCTGCGACAAAAAAAGCAAAGACAATAAGAGAGAAAGGGAGAGTGAGAATGAGGGAGACTGAGAGAGAGATCTGATCCTATGGAAAGTCGGCAAAAAACCCCGGGAGCGTCGGAGTCTCGGACCAAGCTTGTTCTTGCCCTTTTGGCCAAGGAAGCGAGGCACCTGACACACACACACACACACCCAAGCTTTCCTGCTTTGGCGTGCAGCCAAGATATGCCAAGCGTGTCAGCAGCACCGAAATCTTGACCTCTCCATTTGCAGGACCGGCGGTCACTTTAATCTCCTCGACGGCTCAGCACACATACTACCAAACCGCTTCTGTCACCTGCGGTCATGGGCCATTCCTGCTGACAAGTGCAACAGTCCTCGGTTGATAAGATCACTCCTCCAGCGCGCTTGACCAGAGGAAAACAGTTGACCAATGAATCTGAGATCTCGGAACAACACAGGCGGGGCAAGTCCGCAGCCAACTGCCGGGTGAGAATCGAAAGAATCTAATGGCACTTCAAATGTTCAGGCCTTCGAGGGTCGGCTCAACCAAATCACTGCACCCAACTAGGGGCAAACTTGCAAACATGCAAGACTAGTGTTTAGATTTGGCTGCTGGGTACACGCGCAGCAGAACACAGCCACGGAAAAGGCACCTGAGTACTTCAAAGTGAGGCTGGGCTAGGGCCCGAATCTCCAAGTGTTGAAGCCGTCAAAGCAAACCAAAAGCCTAAGCCTCAGGACTGCGAGAGTCACAACTCTCGATCCCAGTGCCTAGCCCTAGACATTAAGCTCCCGACCGTGAAGCAACAAAGAATGTTGTGTTGTGTTGAAAAAAGCCCACCATGGTTCTTGAACTGTTCTTGAATTCGAAGTCCTCACGAAATATAGTGGCAGTTGAGGTCCGAGGCATGGTGAGGGCCAGGGAGGGACTGGGAGGGGGGAGCATCGCAATTCTGCAGTGCACGTGCTTTTGTTCATCCGATAAGCCGATCAGCCAACCAAAAAGCCGCTAAACCGATCAGCCAGCAAATAAGCGAGTAAGCAGATCAGCCGCTGTCGGTGGAGCCTAAACCGCCCTCAACCCTAAACCGTGTAATCGTCGTCGCAGCACTTTGCTAGGGCTTATCGACTTATTGGCCTATGTTGGCTTATTTGCTTCTGGGCTTATCAACTGCAACGCAAAGTAAGTGCCAAAGTTTGAGGGCACAATGATGGAAGTCAGATTTCTGCCAACATGCTGTCCTGATTCGGTCTTGGTCTTGGAGAGTGCCGCCTCAGGAACGGAAGGTTACAGGTTGGCATCTGATGGCGAGCATCTAAAGAGCGTGCTACTTCCAAAGTCCAAAGTTGGCGTGCACCAACAGTCCGGTACGAATTCTTATTCACCTGTGGAGCAACTAAGCAGGCAGCCTTCTCGGACCTCTGCGCAGCGCGGCAGACCCACAGATGGCGAGTGAGGGTTTCAGACAGTCTCATAGAGTTTCAGAGCCCCAGGCGAAGTAGGCACGCATTTCTGCACATCGGCCTGGATGCTCGATGCTCGCTGCTCGGCTGCGCGGGAGTGGCTTAGTGGCTCTGGGGGCTGTGCCGCGCCACCAGCCTTCTGCGGAACGGTAGAAAGAAGCGGCCTTAGGAAACAGAGGGACGCATTGCCAGTTCGCTGCCTTTGCACTCAGCTGCTGGCATTGCTCGGACTAATTTGCTCAGATGTTCAGGGACACCAGATGGCCTTGACAGGTGCACCCTCGTGTTCAAACGTGGCCGCATTCAGCGGCCGTGCATCAGCATCATGTAGCGCCTTCGGCAAAGGTGTCCTGTACACTGCAACAGGAGCTACACTTTTGGCAGCTGCGCCAAGCACCTTATACAAGCATCGACAGATTCTGCAGACCTTTCGCTCCTCTTGCTTTGAACAACAAACCTGCAGAGTGGAAGGCACTGAGGCTGGCGCCCAGCAATCGGTTGATGCTGAAAAGCTTTGGGTTGAGCCAAATGCCACAGGTAGACACGGTTTGGCCAAGGCATACGCAAGAAGTCTTGAAAAATCAATGTCGGACAGAAAGCCCGAATCACAAATCAATAAGTCTCGCCTCTCACAATCCGTCAAGCACAACTGTGTGCAGAACTGTGGTCAGCCGGCTGCAGCCCACCTGCTCAGCAACGGCGACCATGGCTTCCCTTTCCGCCACCACGGTAGCCTGTCCAATTTTGCAGGCTAAAAAATATCCTTCGCGCGAGCCCTGCTCAAGATCTGCCACCTCATTGAGTTCCGTGACCATGTCTGCTTCCCTTTTCAGCTTTCTCTGCTCCCTGCGTAGATACACCAGCGCCGAAGGCCCGATGCTACACAGTTATGGAAGGCCCAAACGCGGCTTGAGCATCCCATTTTGCCTGTTGCTCCTCGGGCAGATGATTTGCAGAGGTATCGCATGAAACATTGCTGAAAACAGGCAGCTGCTGACTGAAATCTGTTGCAATGCTCATGACAGCCAGGGACAACTTGCTTTTGTGCTGTCCTCCGTCTTCTCGATTTCCCTGGCCCACTCCTGAGAACAAACCACGACGTTGTCCGTATCTCAGGCTGCATCGATGGCCTGATTCGACGGCTCCCTGAAACGACCTTCCCTGAAGGCATCGATGGCTTCCTTCGAGGGAGGGTATAGGAGACATTTGGGCGCATTCTGGCTCGCCCTCAAACTGGCGCCTCCCACTGCTTGAGGCCTCGGTGAGCCTGGCCAAGCCTGAAGTAAGCCTCACACCAGGATCCGTGGTTTTGTGATGCGGTGTGTCCCGTGAATCCCTCATAACACGCAGAAATGGCCTTGGGCCATTCCGGCTTCAGTGATACGCAGGTCTTGGCATCTGCTAAAGCCTCGAGCGGGGTGGGGAGCTGCTGCGGGGCCCGCTGCGCTGGTGCTTCCTTCCTAGAGATCTCCCCATATTGTCCTTGTCAAACTTCTTGAGCTTCACATAGCATGCCGATCGGTTTGAGAAAAGCCTCGCCGCAACGAGGAGAAGCACATGAATTGACTATGGCAATGGCTGCAAAAGCGCTCGAAAACTAGAGACACATGGCTTCCGGATCTACTGCGCCAATCTGCACCACGGTCTCAGGCAAGGGCTTCTCTTCGTCGGGCGTCTGATTCAAGGCTCGAGTGTAGTATACCTGTGCTGTTCACGCTCAAGAAGTCCCCCAAGACACCACGTCCTCGTCCTCGCGACTGCAGCCAGCGCACGGCTGCATCACGCCAGGATGAACTTCTGAAGCATCCATCGGCCTGCTGTCATGGCCACTGCGTGGGCAGGGCATCCCTCAGCCAACAAGCAACATCCACTGCACGATGCTCCAAGTCTCGCGTGGAGGCTTCTTTTAATTCTTTTACATCTCAAGGCAAAGCTTCCCGCCTTGTTCTTGAAGTCTCGCGCGAGCTCCTGGCGAAGACGAGCTTGCCGGAGACCACGGTTGCGGCAATGGTGCGCGATTGTATGCCTCGGGCAACCAGCCGCTGCGGTCCGGCGATGCTGCTCGAAGCGCCTTCGAGTGTAAGTCCTCCCAACAACAGGACAAATAGCAGCATGCAACGTTGCACTTCCAGGCATCTTGGCACTGATGGGACAGGTCTGCCTGAATCTGAGGCGCCGCTTCTCTCTGGAGGACAAGCCTCGAAAGCTCTCACTCTGACCTCTCGCGGGCTGTGTGCGAGTGCGAGTCCGAGCGACTCGTTCTCCTCCAGCAGCTGCGGCCTGGCGGCCGGTGGTGGGGCCCATAATGGCCCATGCAGTGCTCTCGGATGCTCTCGGCTCTGAGAGGTCTGCCAGTGCTTCTTCGAAGGCTTTGCCTTCGTGAGCGTCACCTGACACTGTATACACTGTCGATCACTGTCGCACGACGGACGCTGCAGCAGTGATTGCGGAGCCACCTGCAAGCACGTGTTGTACTGCCCGGACTTCTTCACTTGCCTTGCAGTCATGCGAGCAGCAGAATGCAATGACATGCGACTCCACCCGACGGGACGACAGACCCGACGAAGCCTCGAGATCCACCGGTTGCTACCAGTGCAGAACCCTCGTCGCTTCGTGAGAAAGGGATAGAAGTCTCTGAAAGTGAGTATAGAAGGATAGATTTCGTGCATACACTCGAGGCTGTTTATCTCTTACAAGAACCAGGACCATGCAGGGTTGAGCCCATTGCTCCTCAGCTTCGGCCGGAGCTGCTGCCTTCACGCACTCTACTGCGTTCCCACAACGGAAACTCACGAATCAAAGCACAGAGCCATGCCTTAATGATGTCCCATCGGGTTTTGTCAGGAATAATCTTGTCGAAGAGCTTCCCCTGAAACGACGGGGAGAGCTGGGATCGTGTGAACTCTGAACCGCGTACTATTCAGCTGTCGCACCATCAGAATCGGGGATTTGTCATCTCCTCTGATGAACACTTTCAGGTACCTTGACAGGTGCAGCCGCTTCAGGCTTCAGGTTCGTCAATTCCGCCGTGGTCTTGTTCAATTAATTTGAAAGCGGAACAGTGGGGCACTGCTCCATGACATCCACTCCAAACAAATCCGCGAGGCAGGTGACCTCACATGCCTCCAGCAAAGCTGCGCCAGGAGAATGTGTGGCTTCCGGCAGCTCCAGCAGGCACAGTGCCTTCTCCAGGGCTGCCTTGTCCAAATGGATTCGGAAAACCGCGGTTTTGTCGTCCTGGGGGGCAAAGCCGCTTTGAGCGCCTTCAGGCGGGGCGGCTTCCGAGCACACGGCCTGACCATCTTCCAACGAACAGCACAGATCTTCCCGACGAGCCACGAAAGCTTCCTGCAGCCCGGACACGGCACGGAAGCTAGGGCAAGAAGCGAGCACGTCGCTTTTGCCGTGCAGTCCCAGTCCTGCTTTCTTGGCAGCCAGCCAGGCTTGACCTGCCAATGTTTGCCGCGCGACGTCGCAGGAGGAGAGGCTGCCAAAGGCTGCTAGGCCGCCAGGCTGCCCGCCTTGACCAGCATGTCTTCCGCCTTCTTAACCGGCGTACGAGCTGTAGGAGTCCAACCGAAGTGGCTCCTCAGCTGCTTTCAGGCCACGAGATATCACATGCGCCTGCTCTGCTCTAGGCTAGGTGCTTGCGGTGGTGGCTCAGTCCAAGCTTCCAAACCTTTGACAAACCCAGGCACAGGTTTCAATAGCCAGGTGCAGAGCCTGTCAGTCTTGTGAGCTCCGGACCGCATTCCACGCCTAGGAGGAAAGCACTGATTTGTTGCAGATTGTGGCACCAACAGCACACGCCTTGTGATCGCGCTTGGCCAGCTCCAATTTGAAGACATTGCTTCCATCCTCCTTGCAGCAAGTCAGCATGTCGTGTGCTCTACTCAAGAACGGCATCGCACATCAAGCCTGCATCTCCAAGGTCCACCATGAGAGGTCTCGCCTAACGTCTCCATACCTGCGATGCAAGGCAAATCTTAGCAGTCTTAGCAGTCAAAGCACCTTCAAGAGAAAAAATTGAACTGTTTTGGTAAGCTCCCGACAGCGTGCCGTTGAGAGGGGCCAGGAGGCTGTCCAGATCCTGTCTTCCCACAGCCTGCGACTGCTACTGCTTCTCATGATTGTCTCAGTCCAAGCGTTGTGACTGTGGCGGGAAGGGCGGGCAATGGCGAGCACTGCAGGCACCTTCACCTTTAGCTCCCAGCTGGACAGCTCCACGCAGAGGTCTGCCGCACACAGTGAAGCCTACAAAGCGCAGGGGCGCGTCTTTTTTCCATGTGCTTCACTTCAGACAGGCTTGCCTCGCGGAGAACATACTTCAGCGTGATCCGTCCCATGCTTTGGAAGTAGTCCACGCCCCTGCGCAACAGCATGTTTCACAGATTCCCAGTGACTCGGGCCGGGACCGTGTGCCTGGTGGTCCCAGTGCTTGGGAGACACGCGAAGTCCCGCATCTTGTAGACTTGGCCCTCCAATGCACCAACCAACTTTGCCGCGCAGACCAAGTCTCAGCATGTCGCTTCGCTTCAGATGTTTGATCTATACCAGTAGCACATTCAGCTGTACACAGCGCTGGTCTACGTCTCAACGACATCAGGGCTGGCTGGTGCTAAGACACATCCTGCAGAGGCTAAGCTGTCGGAAAAGACGCCTCTGCATGCAGTGAAACGATTGATTGAATTCAGACATAGTCGCGCCAGTGTTCGCCTGAATCGCCTGTGGATCGGAAAGCTTCTGATGCTCACCGCGCTTTGCGCATCAAGTATGGATGCAGGGCTTTCCTCCAAGCCTTTCAGGCTGGGCAGCACACCCGTAGTCAGCAACGGCTAATTCCACTTTGGAGGTCCTTTCGTTATACCTCGAAAAAAGAACTTCTAACAGCTCAGGCGCGAAGCGAAATCCTGCACTATGTTCGCCTTGCCAGCTCAGGGCCAACGGCTTGGCCTAGGTACCGACTGCTCCGGCATCCAGGCCTCTGTGCCCTTCACTCTCCCAACTTGCCACCTGCGAGCACTGAGGTCATGCTCACAAGGTGTCTGTGCGGCAGTCTGCAATGCAGGAGTCCTACCTGCTTGCTCCATCTCCTCGATCAAATCCTGAACCAAACATATAACGAGCTGATTTGAGACCATAATGACGGAATTGACGACTCTAAAGGAACTGAGCTAAAGGCATCGATCTCAGTCGCCTTCCTTAGAAAGAGACGCGTGTGCAAGCCTTCTCTGGTGAGTGAGAAGAGCCTGAGAGCGACCTGTCGCCTGGTGCAAACTGGTTGCACATGGATACCGGGGCTGTCAAGATTCGAGGAAGGCTTTGTTTTCTCCTTCTTGGAATCCATCACAGCACTTGCATCACGAGAAAGCTGACGACTGACAAGCTGGGCATAGACTCCGCCGGTGGTTACGAGCTCATCGTGACTGCCACGCTCCACAATCGTTCCCTTGTGTACAACACAGATCTGCGTTGCATTGATAACCGTGCTGAGTCGGTGAGCGATCAGCACAACCGTGCTGTTCAGCTCAGATAGCAAAGTCTCGAGCGCACCCTGCACAATTGCCTCGTTCTCTGCATCCAGAGCTGATGTTGCTTCATCCAGGAATAGCATCCGAGGCTTGCGAAGGAAGCATCGTGCAATTGCCAAACGCTGCTTCTGTCCACCAGATAGCATGATTCCTTTCTCGCCAACGCGCGTGTCATAACCTTCTTCCATTTCCAGAATGAACTCATGCGCATTGGCTGCTCGGCAAGCTTCAACTACTTCATCACGCGTGTAGTCCCTGCCAATTCCGTAGGCAAGGTTTTCAACTATGGTGGAAGAGAACAGCTGCGTGTCCTGTGCAACGAACCCACAACATCGACGAACGCTCTTGGAAGACAGGGTCGTCATACTCCGGCCATCCAGGCGTATTTCCCCACCAGTTGGTTCATAGAATCTCATGAGTAAATGAACTAAGGTACTCTTTCCACCTCCACTCTTGCCGACAAGAGCCGTGGTGGTCCCAGGGGGCATGTCCATGTCAATTCCTTTCAGAACCAAAGTCTCGGGACGAGACCTGTAACGAAATTGAATGCCACGAAGCTGCAAGTGGCCCTTCACACAATCGCGAGTGACCTCCTCCCCATCATCGGGATTGACATCGGGGCGGGCATCGATCAATGAAAACACCCGTTCCGCCGCTGACGAGGAACGAATCAGGTCATTGAAGACATTCCCGAGAGCAATGAAAGCATTGTTCATCATGTTCCAATAGAGCTGGAAGGTGATGAGAGAGCCAATGCTCATCACTTCGCCTTTCTCATCACAAACAAGCTGGCCACCATACCACAAAATGAGCACCGCCGTGCCCAAATTAAGATACGTTGAGAAGGCGGTCACCGAGGCTCCAACGTAAGCATTCCTCACACCGTGGCCTAAGGCTGTGTTGATGCTGTCTGAGTATCTGAAGGCCTCGTGCTCTTCGGTTGAAAAGCCACGCACCGTACGGATGTTGCTAATGGCATCCGTCGCAGTGCTGTTTGCCTCACCATACGCGCAATAGATGGATCTTGTGATTTTCCTGGCCCACTTAGCATATGCACGGTAGCTGTAGGTGATCGGAGGCACAATTGTAAGTGCAAGGATCGACAACTTCCAAGAAGTGTGGAAAGCCATGAACATGCCGCCCACCTCTGAGGTCACGGTATCATAAGAACTGCTTCAACTCCATGTCTCTGCGCGCACTCTTTGCTGTCCCGGTCTGACATACATCAACTGCAGCTGTGGCACCAGCAACAAAACGTTGGCGAGCAGATCATTCATCAATGTGCTGAGCGGCCTTAGCAGCTGCGTCAGGCCATCTTCAAAGGTATGCTTAATGCTCACTTTAGTCATGCATGACTTATCAAATTTGCCCAAACAGCGTGGTAGCACCATGGGGTTCCTATGCTCAGGAGAACACGGACTTGGGTGCCACCAGGGCTGCCTGGTAGCCCTTGATACCAGGCAGGGTGCTTGGTACTGGTATCAGCACAGCTGATACCACCCCACCCCCCAACCCGCACCCTCCCCACCGGGGTGGGGTGGGGCGGGAGAGAGAGCGAGAGAGACAGAGACAGAGACAGAGACAGAGACAGAGACAGACACAGAGACAGACACAGAGACAGACACAGAGACAGACACAGACACAGAGACAGGGAGACAAGCAGACAGGGAGACAGGGAGA